AGAGAGAGAGAGAGAGAGAGAGAGAGAGAGAGAGAGAGAGACCCACAACAAAAAAACAGTGGCAGCATAAAATCAACATGAGTTAATAAGCAGTTTAGTACATTGTAGGAACGGTATACGTCTGTCAATAGATAGCAGTGAATGGAAAATAATTAGGTTTTGATTAATAAATACAACCTTTTTAAAATTTAGGTTATATTGATTTTCAGTAGCAAAATCTATCTATGCATTTCTAAATGATAGTGGGCTAAAATATCTAAATCTTTAAAGGTGTTATTGTTAAAATAATTGAAGCAGTTCTCAAAAAACAGAAAAGGAAAAGGAATCCATTGAGATGACCTTTCTCTTAACACTGTTTTTTAAATTAAATTTGACATTTTAAAATTACTACAAACATCCTCGTCTCAGCATTAACTCTTAAGAAGATAACAAATGTGTTATTAACCCAGGAAATAAAAACTGAAATTATACAGCCTTACTAGTCAAAGTTRGCCTGATTTTTGCTTTTCTAATCCAGTTTGTAGAAGTAGGTGGAGCTGCAGATTTGTCTGTTTAGCTTCCTGGCCAACAAGGTTGTGAGAGCTGCCAAGTCTTTTTTTTAGCAGAGTAAGTGAAGTAGGCCACATCTCAGTCATGGCAGTTTATACATATAAGCAATATTTTTTTTAAAGATTCATTAGAAATGTGTGGTTTGTCTTCAAAAACACTTCCTATTTGCTGTCTGAACTTTTTGTAGCTCTTTTCAGGAAGGAGTGCAGACATGAACCAATCAGAGTCCTCAGTGTGACTATTATAAAAATGATGAGCATTAAAAAGCACTGTCTTGTTTTAGCGCTGGGTTAAAGGCTGTGAACCTTAGCTCCATATGCACACATGTGCACACAAGCATGCACCAAAACACACACACACACTGGCTCATCAAATGTTCAACTTTAATGTTAAATCAGGCAGTACACAGCTGTTTTAGAGGTCTCTGATTCTGCTTTAGAAGGCTGTAAATATTTTTATTGTGGTGGATCGAGAAAAAGCTTCAGGTTATAAATAAAGCTTTGTTTTCTTAAATTACTGCTTATAGAGAAAATWGACCTTTACTTTCTTACTAATATTATTTTTTAAACTATAAATGTAACAAGCACACACGTGCAGTTTACGTTGTAAAAAAGTTCAAAGTAAATTAAGGCTGTGTAATTTGCTCTGCATGTGGTCTGACGTTTAGGTGATAAACATATATTTCTGACTCGACCACAGACTTTAAACCTGATGCAGTTAGAAAAACAGTCCAGGAACAGCTGCAGAGCGGACTGTTGCACATCTGTCAAAAGCCTTTCATAGGCAGGAAGTTCATTAATCATGTCAGTAGTTGACTGAAAGTGTCACTGACGTGTGAAGCCGTGAGCTCAACATGTTCCTCAGCACATTTATATTTACTGCACCCAGACTGCTTTACTGAGAAATGTGTTGGTGATGAATTCAGACAAGAAAAGAAACAAAATGTTTTATTTTTAATAAAGGGAATCGTATTAGATTATGTGCCAAATTCAAATTTGACAAAACACCCCAACACAAACTGAGCCTCATGGTGTTTTCCATTCAGAGCAGTGAGCAATGTTCAGATTTTTATATAAAAGAAACTACAAAGCATTTTTTTCTTTAAACTTAGTGGAGTATTGGGACTAATTTATACTTCGCAAAACGTTAAGAGATCTGTTCTCAATGACAAAGTTGTGTTTCAAAAATCACATAATTTTGTTCTTGCATGAGCTTCAAAAACCCACTATYCATAAGCTGTCTGCAGAACGTTTTTCTTCCATGCATGAGTATCTGCCAGTGTTGTATAAAATACTACAAACTGATACTTGAGTAAAAGTACAATTATCTTACCATAAAATTACTTTGGTAAAAGTTAAAGTTTCCTCCCATATTACTTGAGTAAAAGTCTTAAAGTATCTGATATTTTCTTTACTTAAGTATCAAAAGTAAATTTCTGACATAAAATGCACTTAAGTATTAAAAGTAAAAGTATTGAGTAAAAATGAGAGGTTAGATTTTCCAAAATATTTATTGGGAGGTGACATGCTCAAAAAACGTTTTTCTAAATGACTATTAAAATATTAATATTAAAACTTTTTAGGATGCACTAATGTATCTGTTTCAGGTATATACTTTATATATTT